GAAGATAGATGGATGGGGCTGTCCCTGTTAGAAGGTCACCACTGTGCCTGTATCTTTCTTTACCAACAGCAAGTGTCATGAATCTCATAATTAGTGAGAGATCTGAAAGATGGTCATCACACCTCAAACATATCGTGTGTGGTTTAAGCTTCTGTAACTGCATGCTGTGGGTAGGCTGGTTTCAGGGACCAAAAAAGGACAGAAACCTGATCCTATGTGTCAGAACATCCCAAACCACACATAGTTCATGTTTAAATCCGTATATTTCATTTTCTACCTGTATCCTCCTCGGTTTCTTTTTAGAGAGACAAGGCTGGTAAATACCTGGCTTCATTTGTGCCCAAGTTTAAATCAAGTTGTGATTGTTGCTATACATAGGTGGTATGGGTTTCTTACTAGTATGTTCCTCACTGGAAAGGCTCTTGAAAAGGAGCTTTCTGCTCACCCAGAAGACCCCTGGGTCAGTTAATGTGCTGGATTTTTTTTGGCATTCAAGAGGGGAGGGCTGGCTTCAGAGAGGCTGGCTTGGATGACAAATCTGGAATTCACATAGAGATAAATGAGGCCATTTTTGTTGCCCTGGGAAGGACCATTGACTTCAGTCATTGTTTTCAAACATTTGTTTTAGTTCAGATAATTGGTAGGTACTCTTACTTGGCTTTGTCCACCAAATTGGGAGGCATCGCTCTGGGCTACTCTAAGGAAGAAAGCTTTTAGATGAATGAACTGCAGACTGGCAAAATGTAGGAGGAAGAGCTAGCTTGAGCCCTGTGGGCCCCTTGTTGGGGTCCCTATGGAAATCTACATGTGGGATGTTTGTGTGCAGACAAATGTTTTTGGTGTGTGTGTATGTCCTTGACTTCTTAATGGGGTGATATTTTGATGCCATGAATGTCTTATTCCCCAGGAGCAGAAGAATGGTTTTCTAATCCAGACTTTTATTTTTCAGGTGATATTTTTAGTAGGCCACCTACTACAGAGTAAATTGTTTTACTCTGAACGATTTAGAGTAAAGTGTTGGGATGATGGCTCCAATGGTGGCAAAATAGTTTTTTGAAAACTAAGTTTATGGACTTGTGGATTTTTATAAATTTAATGTGTTAAATCAGTTACAGCTATATTTTTGCAGCATTTTATTATAAAAATATTTTTAAGCATACGGAAAAGGTGATGAAAGTTTGTGGTGAACACCTGTATATATAACCTAGATTCTGCCATTAACATTTGTTTATACTTTTGTTTCATGTATCTATCCATCTGTCAGTCTGCCTTTTTTTTCCCCCCAATACATTTTATATTTTAGAGCAGTTTTAGTTTTACAAAAAAATTCCACAGGAAGTAAAGAGGTTTCCCATATACCTCTTCCTGCCCTGCAGTTTCTCATGTTGATAGCCTGTTTTAGTGTGGTACATCTGTTGTGATTAGTAAACCATTATTGACACATTGTAAAGTCCATAGATTATGTGAAGTATGGATTTTGACAAATGCCTGGGTCCACTATATCATACAAAGTAAGTTCTCATTGCCTCCAAAACCCCTTGTGCTGTACCTGTTCATCCCCCCCAGGCCCCTCACTGATTTTTTTTTTTTTTTTTTACTGCTTATATAAATTTTGCCTTTTCAATGTCATTGTTGGAATCATCATATGTATCCTTTTCATGTTTTATGATTCATTTCAAAGTAACACAAAGTTGCATTCTTCCCTCAAACTCACATCCCTCTAAATGTTAAGTGTTGTTAGCTGCCTTCTTGTGGATTCTAATTTATGACAACCCCATATGTGCAGAGTAGAATTGCTCCGTCGGATTTTCACTGCTGAGTTTTTAGGAAGCAGATCACCAGGCCCTTCTTCTGAGGTGCCTTTAGGTGGGTTTGAACCACCAACCTAGTTAGTAGAGTGCTTAACCATTTGTGCCATTCAAGGACTCCTAAATATTAACTAGCGTTCAGTATTAGTTACAGTTCTTTTTTATTTTGAAGTATGTGTTTTGATCACTGCACACACCTCACCACTATCAAGATGGAGGCCATGATAATCACCCTGGAACGTTTCCTTGTGCCCTTCCCAGGTGACCCTGTCACCATCCCCTAGAGGAAACCACTGGTCTGTATCATGTGTACCCCTCCCCCCATCATTGATTGGTTTTACTTGTTCTAGACCTTCTTATAGGTGGAATCATTATTGTTTTCCTTACATTGTCCCAGTTTTGAGATACTGTCTTAAATGTAGCCAGTGGAAACCCTCACAATCCTGTGTTTGTCTTTGAGAGCTTCCTTGCTTTCTGGTGCTGCAATGGTGATGCATGCTGACTTGGTATATTTTCTGTTTTAGGTGTCAAATCAACCATTTCTCTAAGAACTCCTTTTGATAGATTTTTAGACAATACCAGTTCTACAGAAGCCTTAATGAAAAAGTCTTAGCGACTTGGAACCTTGGTTTAATATTGTCTTAGTTACCTAGTGCTACTGTGAAACAAATATCAGAAATAGCTGGCTTTAAAGAACAGAAATTTGTTTTCTCATAGTTCTGGAGGCTATAAGTCCAATTCAGTGTTGTTTATTCTCTTATCATTAGCCCTGGGTGTCCCCTTGGCTTGTACGTGATCCTCACAGGGTGCTTGTCTTCACCGTGTGTTTGTGTCTGTGTCTATTCTGGTCATTTTGTAACTGAAAAATGATAGGATCCACCGTATACTGGTAGCCTCGTTAACATTAAAAAAAAAAAAAAAAAAAAAAACTTTTCCAAGTAGGACCACATCCAAAGGTACAGGGACCAGAAATTCAGCATGTATTTTGGGGACACACAATTCAATCCATAACAACCTTTATTTTACTTATAAATCTCTGCATTTGATACTTTTAGTGAAAGGAATTTGAGATGAAGGGGTTGATAAGCCTGTAAGAAATCATTGGCACATGGCATTGTTGGACTTGGAAGGGAAGGAAGGTATTTCTCCTTCAGGGTGTACTAGATGGTCGAGTCTGTGGAAATGGAACTTGTCTACCTTGTCCATCACTGTCCCCAGCATCTAGCCAGCGTGTGGCACAGAAGGGTTACATGCTAAAATACTTGTTGAATAAATAAATATGATTTTAAAGATCAACTTTCATTATCAGGTTGATGCATAGATGGGATGAGACTGGTCAGGATGTATAACCTGGGGCTTGCAATAGTAGCTACAATTGACTCCTTATCATACAGTACAAGAGTTATTTCCTGTGCCAGTCAGAAAACTGATTGCTGGGCGGCATGGTTCTTGTCAATTTAGAATTGGATTTCCTGAACTTTGTTAATGTTTAGATTGTCTACCATAGCTGTACTTCTGTAAATGCATTAGAAAAAAAACTATGAAGGGCAGTTTCAAATATGTACCACTGAATCCCAGTACATCCATCACCCAGCCTCACAGCTATCAACAGTTTGCAATCTTGTTTCATCCTTTCTCTTCTGCACCCCCACTGGAGTATGTTAGAGCAAATACCAGGCATGTACTTTCAGCCATAAATACTTAATGTAAGGTATGGAAAAGATAGATGACCTTTTAAAACATAGCCACAGTATCATTTGTTCCTAGCTGCCTGGCTGATAATTCCTGATACAAGATTCACTTTTTGCCTACCTATATCATGGTAACTTAGCCCCCATCACCACAGTTTGATGCTGTAGATCTGTTAAAGCAGGCACTGCGTTCATTGCAGGGTTTGGTATTCCCGCTATGTGCTTGTTTATAAGTTGACTTATTTCACTTTCATAGTCCCCTTGCAAAGGAGAGGGCCTTCTTCCACCTTGTAAAAGGAAACTTGTCCAAGAGTACATTGCTAGTAGCTGAGTGAGCAGGGTTCCATGCCCAGAAGTGCCTGGGGAAGCCAGCAGCTGAAGGCAAGGCTGGTTTATTCAGCTTTCTGTCCCCCTGCTCCCTCCACTACCAAGAAGCCTCTGACCTTAGCCTGCCCGCTGCCTAGCTCTGCAAGGGGCTCACCTCCGTTCCATCCTTAAGTTTTAAATCAACTTTGGAACTTCTAAATTTGCAACTAAAATTGCCCAGTAGCCCTGAAGCATTGGGGGGAAATTCTTGTTTTGACCAATCATGTAAGAGTTTATCCTTGAAGCATATGCCTTTCTAGTGTTAAGTCTCTGGACTGGCTCTTAAGTTAGATGGAAGGGGTGGAGGGGCTAGCTCTTTTAGTAGAATGGCTGGATTCAGCTGTTGTGTATTATGCTGCTGATTTTTTTTTTTTTTAAACTCATTTGCAAGATTATGGACCAGACTGTTTTCACAGAGTGGGAATTGAGTAGGTTGTAGTCAGCATGTTATTTAGAGGCCAGAATTGTAATTACAGTTAGGGTTGTCCTGAAGTGTTGTGTTGTGCACTTTAGTTGTCTCAGCCTCTTCATGGTTGCACCCAGTGGTAGTGTCTGGCTGACTCATGGGAAGTTAGCTTATCAGAAGGTTTTTGCTTTATCCATTTTGCAGAAGCCTTTTTCAGAATTGTTTCCTACCTTTCTTCCAGCTCTTTACCCTCAAGAGCCAGAGCGCCTTCTCCAGACACCAAGAATTTGATGAATATTTCTGGCTATATAATTTTTTAGAGACTTTGTTAATATCTTTAATTTTGTGTTTATAAAAGCCAACTTTTATATAAAGAAATGATGAAACAATATGGAAAAGAAAGTAAAAATCGCTTGAGTGTGACCTGAAGTCAGGTCTGGCTTTGAGAAACTAACTGATTTCATTTTTAAGGGAATTTCATAATTAGTAGTTTAGTGCCTTGGCTTAGCAGTGGTTACTTGGAAATAAGGATGTGTCCTGTGTTGTGGGGCACCTTAATGGGGCAGCACTGAGGTGTTTCATACTGGTGGCTATCTGGTTGCTAAAATTAATCAGTCTATGAAATATTTGAAACTAAAAAGATTTTCTGATCTTATAGATAGTTGAAGTGTTGATAACATCAAGGAAATCTGTTACAATTTGAAAAGATAAGCAAAAATTTGGTTTCCAGACACTACAGAAAAAGAAGCAAAAATGGTAAGAAAATTTTCTTTTTAAAATCACAGATGCTGTTTCTTCATTCGTGCACAGCGATTCTTGCAGCATTTCCCCAAGCATTTAATTCTATTATTACTATTTTTCATTAGACTTTCCCCCCCCCGAAGTCCTGGCCCCCCTCCTCCAGGCTATGGGGACTCACCCGCCGGGCTCGTGGGGGCACCCTGTGTGCCTTGAGCGAAGAGGAGCGGCTTGCGGGGAGGCGGCACAAGGCGGGTGCCGGCTCAGGCGCAGAGTGAAGGACTGTGAGGGAGGGCGGCTGTGCAGGGAGGGGAAAGGAGATGAAGGACTGCGAAGGGAGGGCAGTCAGGTGCCTGGAGCCAGCTGCCCCGGTGCATCCCACACTCCGCCTGCTGTGGACCGAGCTTTGTTGCTATTTCTGCTCCGTTAGGCTTTTTGAATTATAAAATATATATAGTAAAAACTCATAATATAAAAAGTCAATCCCTATTCCTCCCACTGCCCAGAGAGAACAGTTAAGTTTGGTTGTCGAACTTTTTATATCTTGAGTTGTGTTTACATAGTCTTATTTTTACATGAAGGTATAGCGTGATTCTGAATTGTGTAGCTTATAGATGGTGCATTACTTGGTCTTTTTCAGCTGTTTTTAACTTAGTTTTCCCATTTCAGCGTCCGGTGCGAATTTTTGTGAATGATGACCGCCATGTGATGGCTAAACATTCTTCCGTTTATCCAACCCAAGAGGAACTAGAGGCTGTTCAGAACATGGTGTCCCACACTGAGCGGGCTCTCAAAGCTGTGTCAGACTGGATAGACGAGCAGGAGAAAGGGAGCAGCGAGAATGCCGAGTCTGAGAACATGGATGTGCCCCCAGAGGATGAGACCAAAGAAGGGGCTGGGTAAGTCTGAGGTTTTATGCCTCTCTTCTCTAAGATAAACCTGTCTTTCCTGAGGTCTCTTCTGGCCAGACTGAACTATCCTGTGCTGTGTGTCTCTGTCCTTCAGGGAACAGAAGACAGAGCACATGACCAGGACCCTGCGGGGTGTGATGCGTGTTGGCCTGGTGGCAAAGGGTCTTCTGCTCAAGGGGGACTTGGATCTGGAGCTGGTGCTGTTATGTAAGGAGAAGCCGACCACTGCCCTCCTGGACAAGGTGGCTGACAACCTGGCCATCCAGCTTGCTGTGAGTGTGACTGCCTCCACTAGGCGGGGGGTAGCGTGCTCCTTGAGGATGTGGGGCAGAGGAAGAAATACCCAGCCTATGCCCTGCACCAAGAGGCACATTCCAGACTCATGCCTGCACCTGCTATGCTTTGTACCTTCACATTAGGTAGCTGACAGGTGCTGCCGTAGAGCCACTGAGATTCTGTGGTGAGTGACTGTAGCTACAATAACACCCAGCCACTCTGCCAGCCAGTGATGACCTGTGTCTGCCATGCACCAGGCTGCACTGTCCTAGGGCTGCCCAAGATTGAGTTTACGGAGCATGAAGTCACATCCAGACTCAGCTGATAGTGCAGTGATTACCTCTTCCTTTCTGATCCAAACCTGTTCATGAACATAATTTTTTTTTTCAAATGTGATTTGGGTGAAAGATTACAAAGCAAATTAATATTCTGTACAGTAGTAGTTCATACACATTTTGTTTCATGACATTGGTTGCAATTCCCATAATGTGACAGCTTTCTTCCAACTTCCTCCCTGTGGTTACCTTTTCCCTATGTCCTTCTTTCCTATGCGTACCTGTCCTCTGAGCTGTCTCCCTGTGCAAATACTGCCCTTCCGATCTCCCATGATTGGCTGTCCTAAGGACGCACCTACCTGGTGTAAATGTTCGCCTTACATGCCTGTCTGTTTGGCTGGAAGCCCCAGAATTGAGTTCAACCCCAGGCCTGAAGAAAAAAAAAAAAAAACTTTTAAAGACCAACTTAGTTGTTTTATTACAAAAGTATTAATAATAAACCATTTACTGTCCAGTCAGTTCTGACTCATGGCTACCCCACATGTGTCAGAGTAGAACTGTGCTGCGTAGGATTTTCAGTGGCTGGGTTTTCAGATGTAGATCATGAGTACCTTCTTCTGAGGCATCTCTGCGTAGACTGGAGCCTCTGCCATTTATTAAGCATTTACTGTGCTAGGTGCTGGGCATACCCTTTACGTATATTAGTCATCCTCATCACAACCCTGTGTGGTATGAGTTTTATCATTACGGTATTATGGGTGATGTGACTGAGGTGCAGGAAGCTCCAGGTTGCAGACTTGGTCCCAGGGTCCCTGGTGGGTGAGTTCTGAGGCTTTAGAATCTTCACAAATTAACCCCTGCATGCTACCTCCTCATCTGAGATTTAGGTGTAGGATAAGCAAAACAAAAGTAAAAACTAGCCATAAATCTCATTCCTAAGTGAGAAAGCCATAAACTTTTGTTCTATATATATGTGTGTGTTATATATATGTATGTGTTTATATGTATACACACACATACACACACTATGTATTTTATTACATGTATAGTAGATAATATTGAGGAGCTAAGGTGACCACCACTCATCTATCAGTTTGTCGAACTGTGGTGGCTTGTGTGTTGCTGTAAGGCTAGAGGCTGTGCCACCAATATTTCAAATATCAGGAGGGTCACAGGTTTCAGCAGGGCTTCCGGACTAAGGCAGACTTGGAAGAAGGAAAGGGCCATCCACTTCTCAAAGAATTGCCCAGTGAGAACCTTATGAATGCAGTGAACCACTGTCTGATGTATTACTGGAAAAGGACTGGGCAGCGTTTCATTCTGTTGTAGATAGGGTCACTATGGGTCACAATTGACTGAGTGATGATGAATTTTGAGTATTTAAGGTGAAGCCCTGAAATATGTTACCGGTAAGTAACTTTATTCTTGACTATGAAAAGTGTATGAGTTGAAGAAAATTAAGTTGATGGAAATGTTTTTAAATGTTTATTGTCACTATTAGGAGGGGCCTACTAGTATTATGGCTAGAGGCCAGAGATTGTGGTGCATGTTCTATGGTGCCTACGTAGAGCCACCTCAAAGAAGTAGCCAGCCCAGAATATTAGGAGTACTAAGGTTGGGACACCTGTAATTTTCAGAAGTGTGTTTGTCCTTCCTGCCTCTCCCTCAATGTGATATTTACTGTTTTCCCTTGGAAAAATAAATGCTTAAATTTTCTTCATCAAGTCATATGAAGATAAAAGCAAAAACTGGATTGTTGTGAACATTCTTTTAGACATGGATTTGTAGCATATTTATTTTTAATTGTGATAAAAATATATGTAACAAATCATTTTGTGATTCAACTTTTTTTGCTTGTGTAATTCAGTGACATTGACTACGTTCATCATGTTGTGCAATTATCACCACAGTCTTTTTCCAGATTATTTCACCACTGGTAGTAAATACATTCTTTTATATCCACGATGTGATACAAACTATTTGTCACAGTTTTCATTCCACAGTCCAGTGGCTGCTTATCCCAGTGTGGTGAAACCATTGGCTGCATGCTTACTCTGTGGTGGGCACTGTCCTTCCCACTCTTTTATTCAATTTAATCTTACAGCCTTTGGTGTAGGTTCTGTCAGTAAGCCTGTTTCACAGATCAGAAAACTCAAGCCTCATGAGATTAAGTGATTTGTCCAAAGTTAGACAACTATTAAGTGGCCAGATGAGGATTCAGATCCACGTCTCCTTCTCCCAGGGCCCATTCCAGTGTAAAGCTCCCCATGGAAGTCACTTCTCTCTGTGTGTAGCTACCTCCTCTTAGGAGTACCAAGAAAATGGCTAAACAGTGGCCCTGCAAGAGGGTGGTTCTGACAGCCTAGATGGGGGCACTTGGGTCCCACCACATCCCAAGACATGGTTGATCTCCTGTAGTAAATGGCGAGTCTAAATTGAGTTGTGGCTTGTGCTGAAGAGAAAGGGTGTTTGAAAGTTGTATTTTCTTTTTTAGGCTGTTACAGAAGACAAGTATGAAATACTCCAATCTGTCGATGATGCTGCGATTGTGATTAAAAATACGAAAGAGCCTCCATTGTCCCTGACCATCCACCTTACATCCCCTGTTGTCAGAGAAGAAATGGAGAAAGTATTAGCTGGAGGTAGGGAGGCTAATGGCCGCAGGGCTCTGGAAACTTGGTGTTCCCTCACTGTTCAAACGTGCTATTCAGTTTTAGACTGCCTTGAAAAAGGGCTCTTGGTGTAGATCAAGCACCTTTATTCTGAGATCCCATTTCCCATTTGGATTGAGTACACGGTAGTTTAACATCATGTTTGCACTAAAAGTGAGTAGCACTTTTCATTGGGGATTGCACCACGCCTTTTGTTGATCTTAATCTTTGAATGTTCTCATAAGCGTTACACTTGTTTTTCTGTTGAGCCGTTTTCTGGCCTTGAAAAAGTGTGTCCCTGGTGCTTTTGTGGTTTTTAAGATAGAAGATTTTCAGTAGAAGGTGACCAGATGGTTTGGTGTGAGCATCATGTTGGAGCTGTGCAGACAGCTTGTGTTGCTGCAGAACTGAGGGTGTATTCGTTTGTCGTCTTCAGTGGCCACTTTTTATTAGCCACAGGGATTGAAATGCAAAGTGTCAAAATCCACCTGGGCCCCCTCATGTTTCTCTTCTGTGTGGATGTTTTCTCCTCACAGATCTCACTGTGTAAAGCAATGGTAACAGGCCTCATCCAGATCCCTGACTTAAAAAAAAATGGCCGAAAAGGCAAATTGCTTTGGTTCTGTGGCAGCACAGGCTGACTGATCCCTTATTACCGTTCTATTCACTGCCTGTAGTTCTGACGCCTGATTGTGACTACCAAGGCCCTTCTAGCTTAGCAACTTAGGGACTCTGGACCTTTGACCAACAGGACTCTCTCTGTCAAGGGCTGGGGGCTAAGGCAGTCGAGCCTGTGGGCGGAGGTGGCCCCTTTGCTGCAGATACCTTATGGCTGCGGTAGGAAGCAGGGAGTTTCTTTCCACTCCCCCCTCCCACACACAAACACACACACACACTTTTTTTTTTTCTCCCCCCATTGACCTTTTTTTTAGCCCAGCTAATTCCTTGGGAGAATGTGGGGAAGAAGCAAGGTCACAGTCTGTCAGAAGATAGGATTTGCCTATCTGTCACGTCCTCCATGGGATGATTCCTTTTGGAGTAACTTCCCAATTTTGTTTTTGTTTCCATTTTTTTCTTTTTTCCTTTTTTTTTTTTTCTTTTTTTTCGTTTTTCCTTTTTCCTTTTTGATGGGGGCCTCCAGTTTTGAAGATTTGCTCTTGGGAGAGTCAAATGCACTCTAGCCCCTCCTTCCCTGGTCAAGGGTGGAGACAGACTCTTTAGGAGCCTCAGCTGCCCTTTAGGAAACTGCCACATCCCCTTCCCACCTGACAGAAACCCCTTGGTCAAACTGTACCTTGTCTTCTTATTCCATCCATGAATAGAAACGCTATCAGTCAACGATCCCCCGGACGTTCTGGACAGGCAGAAATGCCTTGCTGCCTTGGCGTCCCTCCGACACGCCAAGTGGTTCCAGGTTTGCATTTTGTTCTTCTATTTGTCTTTCGGTAGAGAATTCCTAAGTTTTAACTTGGCTAACTTTCACAATAAGATTTCTTTAACATTGAAGATAGCCGTGCCGAACTTAGCACCTGTGGCTGTGCAGTTGCTAAAGGAGCACACATACCCCAATTTGACATCCCCAGAGGAAGCTCGTAACTGTGTAGGCGGGCTGCTGCTGCTGCTGCTTTGTACTAAGAGTAATCTTATTCTTGTACATGTGGTGAGATCGCTGCTCACCACACTCGTAACGGTTGTGAACATTTACCATTTACCCTTGACAAAAGTAGCACTGTGAGACTTGTTTCATGTTTGCCTTGGGTTCAGGGAGATGCCTGTGTGTAAAGAGCCTGTGATTTGTTCTCTAGGCCAGAGCCAATGGGCTGAAGTCCTGTGTCATTGTCATCCGGGTTCTGAGAGACCTGTGTACACGTGTGCCCACCTGGGGTCCCCTCAGAGGATGGGTAAGGGCACCCTCTAGCTCTTACCACCCAAGGATCATGCTCAGTCAGAGTCTCCCCCCTCCCCCCACAACCTCCTAATCTCAGGAATACTCTGTGGTTACTGGGCAGGAGTGGGCCCTTTGGGGTGTGGTGAATATGTCCCCGGCAGAGCTGCTTGTTGAGCAGCGCTATGTGGCACACCCTGGGCAAGGACCCTCTGTGGAGGATGTAGCCAGGCATCACACACTCAGTACCATGCAGTTTACTCTGTAAAGAAGATGCTTTCTGTAGATGCTCTTGGACAGGGGCCAGCCAAGTACAATCCACTTGCAGTTCTCGTCACTTGCCTGTTTTTACAGTCCACACCTAAGAATGGTTTTCGTAATTCTTAATGGTTACATTTGAAATACGGGTACTTAGATAATATACAGCCTGAAATATTTAGCATTTGACCCTTAGGGGAAAGTTTGCTGACCCATTCTGCCGTGTGGCTAACTGTCACTCTTACCTTTCAGCCTCTGGAGCTTCTCTGTGAGAAATCCATCGGCACAGCCAACAGACCCATGGGTGCCGGCGAGGCCCTCCGAAGAGTGCTGGAGTGCCTGGCGTCCGGAATCGTGATGCCAGGTTGGGGCCTTCTGCTTTGCCAGTTGCAGGGAAAGGACAGGATTGAGGCCCTGAGGCCGGTTCCATGCTGGTCCACTGAATGGGTTAGGGCAGCAGCAGCTCCGTGTCCACCCCCTAGGGCTGAAGCATGTGACTACCCTCTTGCACCATCATATCCAGCCCTGTGCCGGGTCCGCAGCTGTGATTTAGAGGGCGGATCCGGGGGCAGTGGTGACCCACTCCCACGTGAATTTCTTGCTCTGAGACACATGTGGATTATTTCTCTCAAGGGCTGGACGCTGAGTGGGTCACCTAGCTCAGCGTGTTTTCCAGAGCTGGGTGTGGATGGGGTGCGGGGGGGTAACGCACCTGATTCCCTCAGCCAGCACAACTCTTCAGAGATGTTAAAGGATAATCCTCTGCATATCTTCCTTGTTTCCTGCCTTCAGATGGTTCTGGCATTTATGACCCTTGTGAAAAAGAAGCCACTGATGCTATTGGGCATCTAGACAGACAGCAACGGGAAGATATCACACAGAGTGCGCAGGTATAGTCATCGCCATTGCAAACGTGAGCCCTACCCAGTCTTTAATCACTGGCTTCCAGTTCCATTACTGGGTATTCTCAGGGTAGCCACTGGATGTGTAGGCTCAGGTTGGGGACTGAAGGCAAAGGGATTGTGTCTGATACAGGGCGCCCCAATCTGGGCTGCTTCTTTCCCCGGGCGCCATGCGTGGTTGTCGTCTGCCCCCTCAGTCTGCTCGAGTGCTATTTTCAGACACCGAGTTCAGCGAGGAGATATGTTTGCTGTGTGGACTGTTCCAGGGGTTCTTCCCCTGCAGGCCCACCACGTGGCTCCGTGTGGCAACCAGTCCCCAGGTTGGGATCTCCTGTATTCCTCTCAAGGGGGGTGGTCACAGGCTGGTCTTCCACCACAGCAAGGCTGGGCCCTAGCAGTCAGGCTTTCCCTGGCTGTTGGGGGACCCCTTGCTGTTGTAGGGGAGACCACTAGCAACCCACTGAGCTCCTGCCCCCTTACAGAAGGCATTAGTGAGCACACACCACTTGGCGGTGAGCACAGGGCAGCAGGGTCAGTGTCCTCTTCCCCTTCTCTAGCATGCGTTGCGACTCGCTGCTTTTGGCCAGCTCCATAAAGTCCTGGGTATGGACCCTCTGCCTTCTAAGATGCCCAAGAAACCAAAGAATGAAAACCCAGTGGACTATACTGGTAAGCATGCAGCAACTTTGGGGGGCCTGCAGCCATCCCATTGTTATGGCTCCTGGCAGAGCAGAAGACCGGATTTCTCAACCACTCTGTCCTGTCGGTTCTTTCAGTTCAAATCCCCCCTAGTACCACTTACGCCATTACACCCATGAAACGCCCAATGGAGGAGGATGGGGAGGAAAAGTCTCCCAGTAAGAAGAAGAAGAAGATTCAGAAAAAAGGTACAGCAGTGGCTTTCTCTGTAACACTTACTTTATTCTCTGTCTTGCTGCAGTTATGTGGCATCCTAACGTGAGATTGCTTTTGTTTAGTTTTGGGTTTTAGACATGATATTATGTCCTTTTACGAAATATTAAGTACAAGGCATGTGCAGTGGGATGGTTGTGCCTTAGCTGCCGACCATAAGGGTGGTCTGGCTGGGAGAAGTACAGGCAAGTCCTGGGTAGTGATGTGGTGTCCAGAGAATCCACTGTTGCATGTAACAGAAGGCAGTCAGGAGTGCTTTTCCCTCTGATTGAGAATTGACCCAGTTCTCTCTGTGGCAGAGAGCTGTTGACATCCTCACCCAGAGCAATCTTGGTGTTGTCTTTGTAGAGGAGAAGGCGGAGCCTCCCCAAGCTATGAATGCTTTGATGAGGTTGAACCAGCTGAAACCTGGGCTGCAGTACAAACTGGTTTCCCAGACTGGGCCAGTCCATGCCCCCATCTTCACGATGTCTGTTGAGGTAGATGGGAATTCATTTGAGGCCTCGGGGCCATCCAAAAAGACTGCCAAGCTGCACGTGGCTGTTAAGGTAAGTGTGGACACCTGTCATTGTGCATTGTAGGCTGGCCTCGCTGGCTGCTGATCTCTTTACTTTATCTTCGGATTCTTCAGATCCTTTGTCCCATACTTGAGCCCTAGGTGTGGATACCATGGGGTTTAGGAATGGCATACAAACACTGACGCAGTTAGATGTTTGTTAGACTTGCTACATTGCACATGGCTAGAGGGCTTTTTAGTGAAGGGAAAAGGTAGACATGCCACAAGCCTTGCTGTGCATCAGCCTGTCCTGGGAGCTTTAAGGCAAACAGACCCTTAGATTTCCGGGCCCCACTGTCACAGCTATTGATTCTGGATACCTTGGGGCTGTGGGGACCAAGGTGTCAATCAGGCTCGGGAAGAACCAGAATGGGTGGCTAGTCCTGACGCAGATGCAGAGCCCTTCTTCACCAGGCCCTGGGGGCCTCCCCTCCTCTGCAGGTGTTACAGGACATGGGCTTGCCGACAGGTGCTGAAGGCAGGGACTCCAGCAAGGGGGAGGATTCCGCTGAGGAAACGGAGGCGAAGCCTGCAGTAGTGGCCCCTCCCCCTGTGGTGGAAGCTGTCTCCACCCCTAGCGCTGCCTTCCCCTCAGATTCCACCACTGAGGTGAGCACGGGGTGGGTGCTGGGAGGGACTAAGAAAGGACTCAGAAGGCAGCTCCAGCAGATGGTTACTGGTCCTTTCAGTTTCCACACAAAGGGTAGGCCTTCAACCCATAGCAGAAAGGGCCTTCTGATGTAGAGCCAGCATCCAGCAGCCCATGAGGTGGTGGTCCATGTTCAAGGGTGTATCCATTCCGCAGAGAGAGCGCAGGTGGGGGCAGAGCCACTGCTGAGTCTCCACAGATAAGTTGACAGATAATTGGTGGCAAAGGACTACAAGGTGAATGGCACTAGGGCCTGAGCCTGGGACCAGGAGCAGGGCAAGCTGCTGCTCCTCCAGCTTGTGGGTGGAAAGCCTGTGGCTAAGTTTGTTGGTTTTCCTTTTTGTTTCCCCTGAGAACGTAAAACAGCAGGGGCCGATCCTGACCAAGCATGGCAAGAACCCAGTCATGGAACTGAATGAAAAGAGGCGCGGACTCAAGTACGAACTCATCTCGGAGACGGGGGGCAGCCATGACAAGCGCTTCGTCATGGAGGTGAGCAGCTGTGAGCTGCGTCCCAGCGCAGATACCTTGGTGTCTAGAGATGGTCTCTTGATGGAGGTTTCCTGTCCCTTGAGAAGGGGCTTCGTATGATCCTCTGACGTTCATCTGTTCTAGGTTGAAGTGGATGGGCAGAAGTTCCAAGGTGCTGGATCAAATAAAAAGGTGGCAAAGGCATATGCTGCCCTCGCTGCACTAGAAAAGCTGTTCCCTGATGCCCCTCTTGCCCTTGATGCAAACAAAAAGAAGAGAGCCCCAGTACCTGTCCGAGGGGGCCCTAAATTTGCTGCTAAGGTACGTGGTTGCACTCGCTGTCTGGTCTTGGCAGCAATTCCTGTGGTGTTTTGAGGACGGAGTTAATGTAACTTGTCCTTATTCCCTCTAGCCACATAACCCTGGGTTTGGAATGGGAGGCCCCATGCACAATGAAGTGCCCCCACCCCCAAACCTTCGTGGTCGGGGAAGAGGAGGGAACATCCGTGGACGAGGGCGAGGCAGAGGATTCGGCGGTGCCAACCATGGAGGCTACATGAATGCTGGTGAGGCTCTTGTTATTTGCTGTCCCTGTGTGCCTGACCTGTGTGTGGCATTGAGCTCCATACTCCCTCAACCTGTTTAGTCCCTGGGTTTGGGCAGAAAGTGTGAGCAGGGGCAGGGCAGACCCATTTTCTGCCCCTGTAACCTCGTTCTGTTCTCTTCCAGGTGCTGGGTATGGGAGCTACGGGTACGGAGGCAACTTGGCAACAGCAGGCTACAGTAAGTGTGTGTTTCTTTGTCTTGAGCTTGGGAAGAAGCTGCAGCTTAGCTCCTGGGCCTGAGTTAGAGCAGGGTTGCCCAGCATCAGCAGTCTCCCTGAGACTTAGGAGGGGCCCATGCATTTTTTTGGTGATTAGGTCAGACTGTCCTCAGGCCCCCTCCCCGGCAAACGTGTAATATATTCTTTAAATGTGAACACACAAGCTTGTGTGACTGCACAGTTCCTTAAAGGTCAGAATTTTAAATTTCTCTGCTTTGAGCCGAGTGAAGCACCAACCCTGTGATGATGCTTTTCCCGACAGTGCACAGCTCTTGTCTTGAGAAGGAGCCTTCATTGGGGGGTTACAGAGGCAGAGAAATCTAAAACATGAATTTCAAATGTGGCGCTCTGTGCCATTTTTCAAAAGAATTCTAATTTTTTTTCTCTGCTCTGTCTCCCCCTTTTGTAGGTGACTTTTTCACAGACTGCTACGGCTATCATGATTTTGGGTCTTCCTAGAGCATCTAAAAGTATTGCACACAAAATCAACTTTTTACTCCACTTTTCTCGAACTCCAAAACCCAAAGTGTCCGTGCTGTGTCCCTGTGCTTCACTGGGTTTCTCAACCGTGGCTTTTCACCGCAGCTTGTCTGAAACTCTTAGCCTGCAGAATTTAAGACAATGGCAGTTTTTATCGTGATTTGCCTTTGAACTTGGTCATATTGAAGTTCACAATAAGTGGAAACATTTTCAGAGAATGTATCTGTGTGCAGCCTTGCACAGAGTTCTAGAGCCAGCGTTCCGCATCAAGGCAAAAGCCCACCTTTGCTTTTTATGGAAAGCATTACTTTATTTAAGAGACAGATCATGAAGCATTTTAATCTACCTTTGTCTTAATTTACAGCAGGTTTTGTATGAATTTTTAACCTTTTAACAAATTCCCAAATCTGGTTGATGCCTTTGACAGTAATGAAACTATTTTCACCACATCTGAACCCCAGAGTAACCGGCTTTTCTTTTATAAGCATGTAAAACGTTGGGAACATTTGGGGAGCTGTAAATTGTGCTAAGTTATCCTTTCCCGCCTTTTGTAAATGCCCTGGTGGGTTATTGTTTGGGGATGCGATATTTTGTGGCTGGTTTATAGCTAGAGAGTGAACTTGAACTCTCAAAGGTATCAAAACTGTGCTTCCATTATTAGTGCAAGAAACAGGCTGTAAGGAGTAGAGAACGTGAAATTTTGCAAGTCTTAATCACAGCTGCAGTTGTGTGGAATTCTGGAGTTTTCTTTTCAAATGGGCCTGTGAGAACTGTTAATCGAGCAGAAAGAACCTAGTACATGGCCTGCTGCCCCCCAGCCCGAGATGGGGCTATAGCTGCTGGGCACGCAGCTGCACCAGACTCCAGATTGCCTGAGAGCAGCTGCCCTGTCCCGTCTGAGGGCCACGCTGGAGTTGAAGCTTCTCGTCTGTGTGCAAAGGCATGGGGAGGGACTTAGGCTCTTCACTCAGAGCCCATTTCCTGGTGGGAATGGTTAGGAATGTGGAAGATCTGGTGTGCAGGTTTTTTTGCAGCAAAGCCTGCCTCTCTGTTGACTTGCAAGATTTTACGTTTATTCAGGCAAAACTGGTCAAAATGATTACTACATAATTTGTTCCCAGAGGTTTGAAACATTCAGTGAAACTTTTTAAAAGACTTTCTTGCATGATGTATTTTTTTTTTTAGAAAGTTATTGTTTGAGAATAATGTCTTTTGATACCAGGAAATAGTTATCCTGAATGACGTTGACAACTTCCCCTACCCTTTATTTTTTTTTAATCAATACATGTTAAAGTAACAAGCCCTCGATACTTGGTGTCTTCATTCATGTGGCTTCAGGAGGGGGCGGTGGAGCCACCTGCTGAGCCGTGGGGCTTAGTGTGGGGTGCTGGGGTGACGGAGGTCGAGGGGACTTGGGTGAATTAAAGAGGACCTTCCTGTCCTCCAGTGTCCTCACTGAGCTTTCACGTGATGCTTTCTTGCCCTGTGGGACACGTCCTTCTTGGTGTTTTGGTTTTGTGATGGGGTGGGAGGGCCGCTTGAAGAAAACACATTGACGTCTGCTGACCAGTTCTATCTAAATTCTTGTTTAAAAGGCCCGAGACACGCCAGTGTGGAGTGCACATCTCCAGTGGGTGGAGGTCTGTAAGGACTCCAGAGGCCTGGCACACTTGGTGCTGTGAACAAGGAGGGAAGGACTGGCTGTGTGGGAGTGTCCCCTCGCCCTTCTGCCCATCCTGGGCACAAGCAGGGCAGACTGGGGGCCAGCACCAGCCCGCCAGCCCCGGCCATCTGAGCAGAGCCAGTGCCGACTGGCAAAGGTGGCTGGGTGCTTAGGCCACCTGCTCCAGGGAGCCCAGCAGCTCTGTTGCACCTGTTTCAGCCTGGGGATTGCCCAGCTGGGGTGGAGGGCCACCCACACGACCTGCCCTCCCCTTCTCCAGCTTCTCCCATCCTCTGAGCCATTCTACCCCTGCTGAGAGACTGCTGGTAGGGGGCTCCCTGGTAGGGCTTCCATGGAAGTGTAGCTTGAGCTGACCCCCTCCTCTCCTCCGATCAACTAGAGTCCCTGATGGGGGCAATGTGTTGACAGACGTATCCTGGGGTTCCTACCTGGTGACCAGAAGGGGAGCTCTTCACCGTGACATTCTCAGCTTCAGAGCCTGTGAATGTGGCGGCTTCACTGCTCGCTTGTCATTCCTGCTGCTTGTCCTGCCCGTGCCCAGCAGCTGTGCTGGGAACAAGGATGGGCTTCTGGGCAGCCCCTAGGGCTGTAGCTCAGGCCACATTCCAGTTCCAGCCTTAGCCAGTCTCCCGTCCCCTGTGAGGATGAGAATCCTCCTTTGAGTCGTGTGTTGGCACAAGGGATACGAGGAAGACACTGCAGGTCATCTGGCCACATCTCGATTTGTTCCGTCAAGAACCATGTCAGACTAGTTTGTCTTCTAAGAATGATTATGGTGCTAGGAGCCTCGTTAAGAGCATCTCCATGGCTGTCGCCCAGGCCTGTGGCTGCTGAGCCTTTTCCCAGCACAGTGGGGGGGAGGTAGGGTGGCCAGTTGCTGCTCGGGGCTTTGCTTTTCCTGTCACTGTTGGGGACATCTGGGTAGCAGTGAGCTAGTCTTGAATGTCATGCAGTGCTCGGATTCCATCTCACTGTAATGTTGACATCCGCTGCAAATGCTGCTGCCGGCGTGCTGCCTGCCGCTGCTTGGCACAGATCCAGTGTTGTCATCAGCTGATGGGTGAGTGGAGCTGAAGGCTGGGCCAGCCCAACCAGGCTACTGTGATGATTGGAGCTACCGCTCCTCTCCCTCTTTCCCTTGGCCTTGGGCAGCATCCATGGATGGAGCACATGGGGCTCCCAACTCCTGGGCAGGTGCTTGTGGGTCAGCCTTCAGGGCCCACAGCTTCGACTTTTCCTTTCCTTCCCCACCCCCTGCGCTTCCTTGTGCTACGCCTGACCCGTTGCCTTCCTGTTTAGGTCAATTCTACAGCAACGGAGGGCATTCTGGGAATGCCGGTGGTGGCGGCGGCGGGGGCGGTGGTGGCTCCTCTGGCTACGGTTCCTACTACCAAGGTGACAACTACAACTCACCGGTGCCCCCAAAACACGCAGGAAAGAAGCAGCCACATGGAGGCCAGCAGAAGCCATCTTACGGCTCTGGCTACCAGTCCCATCAAGGCCAACAGCAGTCCTACAACCAGAGCCAGTACAGCAACTACGGTCCCCCCCAGGGGAAGCAGAAAGGCTACAATCATGGACAAGGCAACTACTCCTCCTACTCCAACTCCTACAGCTCCCCCGGGGGCGGATCAGACTACAACTACGAGAGCAAATTCAGTGAGTTGGCTTCCAGTGCCCTGAGGCCTGGCGCACAGCCCATGGAGTGGCAGACTCCCAGCACTGTCAGACCTGGCGGAGGGACTAAACGGAGGACAGGCGGTACTGGCTGCAGGGCGGGTGTTAAAAAAAAGTCCAGGGGACAGAATCCCCGTGGCACAGGTCTCTCTCATTCCCTTCCCATCACACTCTCTGAAGGCAGGTCCTGAGGTTCCAGAGACTGGGGGTTGAGACCGGAGCATACAGGTGGATGGAGCCTGCCCAGCCCAGGCTGGATGACTGTGAAGTGATCTCCTAGGCCTGGCTTTTGAGATAGTGTTGCATCTAGGGCCTCAAAGAACCTGAGCAGTTTCCTCAATGGGCCAGAATATTCTTCCCACTGCTGCTCCCCAGCTGTATGTCTCCCTTCTGCTTGGTGCATGGACCCCGCAGGCTGGGCCATGCTGGTTGTCCAGCTAGGGAGTCAGTGGGCATTTACTCTTCCTGATGGAACAGCAGGCAGCAGTGTGGCTGAGGGCCTCAGAGAGGCTGTGCTCTGTGTGCAGGGCAGGGTAGGAGCTGAGGAAGAGTGGGCTCTCTGTCATTCCTGAGTTGTTAGGAAGATGGGGTTGGAGGTACATACAGGTGGGAAGGTAGGATAGAACTCTACTCTTGAATTTGGTGACGGCCTGGCCCAGTGTGAGGTGATCCTGCATGGCTATCGCTGCTGCGTTGGGGTGACCTGTGGCCTATTTAAACATTTAGAACAGGGAACTCTGCAAAGGCTCAGGGCCTACTAAGTCCAGCAGTGCACCACAGAGGCCCCGACCCTTACCAGCCATGGGTCCTTCTCAGGGCCCTTTAATCACGCTGTCTTCTCTTCCCCAGACTACAGTGGTAGTGGAGGCCGAAGCGGCGGGAACAGCTACGGCTCAGGCGGGTCGTCCTACAACCCAGGGTCACACGGGGGCTACGGCGGAGGTTCTGGGGGCGGCTCCTCATACCAAGGCAAACAAGGTGGGCCTGGAGTGGCAGTGGCACAGCGTGGGGATTGTCAGCTCAGAGCCAGCTGGGGCCATGCAGTAGCTGTTGCGGGGTGCTGACCTGCTGTGAGCAGAGCGGCCGGTGCACAGGCTTGTAGTGGCAGCTGACACTTGGCTTCTGTGTGGGGTGCATAGGGAACAGACGGGAGCGTAATGACTCCATCAGACTGGCCCTGCGGGAGCACTAGCTTAGACACACTGGCTTCTCAGGCTTGTCAGAAGCTGGAAATGCAGACTTGGCTCATGAAATTGCCCTACTCTTCAGTGTCAGCACCTTCTTGAAGAAATGGTGACAACACTGTAAGGCCACAGCATCTGCTGCTTGAGGAAAAGCTTAGCCTCATGGTCAGGGAGCTGAGTTACAGCCCCGGCCGCAGACAAGTCTTTGAGTGGGCAAGTTGGTCTCCCTAAAACCAGAGTCACGCTGGTTCCACTGTGAGGGTGATGGTGAAAGATCATGATGCATGGAGGGCACGTGGCAGAGCTGCCAGCCCTGACGACACTTGTGGGTGGTGGTCGGTGTCCTGAGCCCTGATTGCCCAGGCAGGCCCATCCCGTCCACTTGCCTCTAACCCACGCGTTTCTCTCTTAGGAGGCTACTCATCACAGTCGAACTACAACTCCCCCGGGTCCGGCCAGAACTACAGCGGCCCTCCCAGCTCCTACCAGTCCTCACAGGGTGGCTACGGTAGAAACACAGACCACAGCATGAACTACCAGTACAGATAAGCCCCCTCCCTGTGGGGTGAAGATTTATACCGTCTACACTTGCACCCCATTGGAAGATACAGTTTTATGCATCACAGTTAACATGTCAACCAGTCCCTCCAGGCCCTCTTGCCCTGTCCTTTCCTGGTTCCACGTTGCCGTGTTGTGAGGTGCAGCTGGTCACTTCTGTGACCCGTCCTGTGACCCATATTTAGCTGTGTTTGGGACTCCATGTCTTCAATGGTTTGTTAGTTATCATCACAAATTTGTCTGAGTAGCGTTTTTGAGTTCTTGCAGTTAAGTATCCCTCTGTCTATTTACAGTTGGTGTTAGTGTTAACTCAGTTTGTCTTTAAATAGTTACAGACGGGATACAACATCTGTTAATGCTTTTGTGAAGTGAGTTAAACGAGCTTTCTGTATTTTAATGCTTTAGTGTTTCAGTTTTATAAGTGAAGATTTTATTTTAAAAACCAGTGGGAAAGAGTGGGGTTTTTTTTTTTTTTGTTTTGTTTTGTTTTGTTTTGTTTTTTGGGGGTATGTCTGGATCATTCAGGCAGTACATCCGAATTAAGCTGAATGTAGATAAATAAAGAAAAAGAAAACTGTGCCCGTCGTAGGCCTGGGCGTCTGACCCACTGGCATTGTCATGGGCAAGGTCCTCGGCTTCATCCCACTCCAGGGAAGGTGGAAGGTGGGTGGGAAGGTGGTGGGGGCAATAGGTAGTAGTCCCTGGTCAGGAGACAGGGTCCAGCTCAAAGCCTCTCGATGCCTGTATTCCAAGGCTGGCAAGGACCAGCACCTTGATAATAGGGGCTCATCGAAGAGACACCCTCCTGCCCCCATCAGCCCAGGCAGAAGGAACTCTGGGGTCTTTGAGATTCTGTGTCCCAGCCGGCACTGCAGCTCCCACCTCCCAGTGGTCTGGAAGTTGAAGTGTGATCGCAAAATTCAGGCACATTTTGTTTTCTGCTCTGTGAATTCTCTTGTTGTTTCAAGTGCAATTTCACATCACCATGGAGTAAAAGTTCCTTGTAGGTTTGATACCTCCCAGTTATAACCAGACGTGAGAAGGGCAGATTGAGTCTGGCTCAAGCACCCCAGGACCTGGGTTGATACCAGCGTGGAACCGTCTGTCCTGGGGATAGGATTGGTGTCTGTACTATAGCCACAGCCTAGTCTCTACAGGGGTCTGCTCACCCCAGAGGCTCAGACTGGGGAGTGCCCAGCCCTGTGCCAGTAGTTCTCAACCTGGGGTAGGTTTGCAATGTTTGGGAGACACTTGTCACAGCTAGGAAGTGTTCGCGGCATCTAGAGAGTAGGTGCTAAAAGTCCTGCACTGAGCAACTCCCACCACAAAGAACCTTCTGTGTGGAAAGGTCAGCAGCGTGTAGGAGGATTAACCCTAGCCGGTAACAGTTCTCAGCTGCGGGTCAGCCCTGGGACGGGGGAGTGGCACTCGGATTGGACTTTACCAAAACCGAGGACTGTACCTTTGTACCTTGAGCTGCTCAATAGGGTCCTCTCCCAGTTTGCTAGTTGGCTGTGGCATCAGAGCCGGTTCTCCATCCTCAGAGCAGGTGACATTCTGGGCTGGTGCCTTGGCTTCATGCTTGGTGAACTATGGCCAGCAAAAGTGAGGACCATTGTTTCCCTCAAAATGATTCAGCCTCTGCAGAAAATGAAGTGTGCCTTCAAAGGATGAAATTTGTCATCTTGGGGGAGAGACAAAAGAAAGGTATTCTGCACTAAAAAAAAAAAAGTAATTTTTTTCTGCTAGAGCGGAGGAGGCCAGGATGTCCATGGTCTGCTTCCTGTGCAAGAAAAGGCGGGAGCCATGCGCAACTGAGAGGTGGTCTTCAACACCACCATTCAAGTCAGTCTGAAGTGCTCTGTGAACTCGAGACCTGAGGAGTGGGTCCTAACCACCTACTTTGAGGGAAAGTGCCCATGACCTGCCCTCTCCCAGACACATGGTGGGGCTGGCACAAGAACATACACAGGCCCAGCAGAAAATGAGTACCTTGTATTTGAGATGAAAGGATAGAGGCCATGGAGGGAACTGAGTCACTTGGAGACCTTGGGAGCAGCACCAGCCCCCCCTGCAAACCTTCAAACTGAAAGGAACCCTGGTATTCTCAACACAGACCTTCCAGTACAGTCTCTTCCCCAAGTAGTGACCACCAACAGCACCTTTGTGTTTCTAAGTACGGACCGGAATGGGAAGGATCGATGATGAGCCCCTGCTAGAAATTTCAAGGGGAGTGGAAAAGGCTTCCCTATTAGTCTTGACCTGGAGACAATCTGCAGGGAGCCACAGCTTGTTGCCTGAGTCCATTGGCCTGGAAGACGTTCAGGCAGCAGTGTCAGGAAGCAGGTCACAGCCCCAGTCAGTTTATGAGCAAGGTTGTATGGGATGCATATGAATTTCCTAGGGTTACTTTAACAAATTTTTACCAACTTGGTAGATTAAAACAACAGTAATTTATCCTCGCACAGTTCTTGTAGGCAGGGCTGGTTGCTTCTGGATTTGCTGACGGAAAATCCGTTCTCTGCTTCTGTGGCTCCAGGCAGTCCTTGCATTCCCTGACTTGCAGCCGGATCACTCCAGTCTACCTGTCTTCACTTAGCCTTCACCCTGTGTCTCCGTTTCTTTCTCCTTAAAAAAACAGCAGTCATTGGATTTGAGACTGATCCAAAGTCCAGATGATTTCATCATGAGATTCTGAAATTAATTATATCTTCCACGACCCTGTTGCCAAATAAGGTAATATTCATGGGTCCTAGGGATTAGGGAATTCCAGAACATTTAATTGTGCTCATGAGGAACCTGTATTTAGACCAAGAGGCAGATGTTCAAGCAGAACAGGAAGATGTTGCATGGTTTAAAAGGAAAGATGTGCATCACGATTGTATCCTTCCACCACACTTAATCTATATGCTGAGCATATGATCTGAGAATCTGGACTATATGAAGAACATGTCATCAGGATTGGAGGATAGGTGGATGACAGCTCTGCTTGCTGAGGAAGATCATCGACTACAGTCCTCAGTATGGATTACATACCAAAACAAAATCCTCACAACTGGACCAGTAAGCAACATCATAGTAAATGGAGAAAAGATTGAAGCTGTCAAGCATTTACTTTTACTTGGCTCCACAGCCAGTGCCCTAGGAAGCAGCAGTCAAATCAAATGATGTACTACATCATGCAAATCTGCTGCAGAAGACCTCCCTAAAGTGTTAAAAGGGCTAAGGTGTCACTTTGAAGACTAAGATGCACCTTGCCCAAGCAGTGACATTTTTAGTAGCTTCATATGCATGCAAAAGCTAAACAATAAATAAGACCAAAGAAGAATTGATGCCTTTGAATTATGGTGTTCGTGAAGAATATTGAATATACAACAGACTGCCAGAAAAACAAATCTGTCTTGGATGAAGTACAGCTGGAATGCTACTTACAAACAAGGGTGGTGAGACTGTCTCTGGGACTTTGGTCATGTCGGGAGGGACCAGTGCCTGGAGAAGGATGACATGCTTGGTAAAGTGGAGGGTGAGCAAAAAAGAGGCAGACCCTCAATGAGATGGAGTGAGACAGTGGGTGCGGTGAGGGGCTCAGGCCTAGCAAGGTTGTGAGGATGGTGCAGGACCAGGCAGTTTCGTTTTGTTGTAAATAGATAGGGTCAGTGTGAGTCAGAATTGACTTGGCAGCGCCTAACAGAGGTTAGGGATAGGCTATATCTTTTCCGAAGACACTATTTATCCCACGACAGGGTGTGGGGGGGAGGGTTTCTACCTCAGCTGCTGCAGATAAAGCCCACATACTACACCTATGTAGAGGGCTGCCGGTTTGCCCAGCCAGGATAACTTGGGAGTGTGGACAGCAGAGCCAGTATCTGGGCAGAATGACAGGTGTGAGTGAGTACGGTTCGTGAGCATGGAGCCCTTTTTCCACTGGGATGCTGATGGCAGCTGTGAGGCAGCTGGCTAAGAGCAGCATGCCAGTCCTCAAGTCCTGCCATCCAAGATCCTGGGATCAGAGAGAGGGCCTTGGCATTGGGGTATACCACCCATTTTAAGCTGACAATGGCCTTTGCAGACCCATTGTCTTCCCTGCACTTAGTGATCTGGTCCGATTGCAGTCCTTAAGTGGATGTGGTCCTTAGACCATGGCTTCTGTGACCAGAGACAGGGTACCTTTGTGGAGAAGGGACCCCATGACTGTAAACAGCTGGACACTTGGATGGTAGGCATGGGGCAGGGTATTGCAGGGAACTCGAGTTGATCCATGGGGTGGAAGTATTGAGGCTTTTGACCTTGCACAAAGGGGGTCGCCAAGCAGTAATGGGGGTACAGACCCAGGGTTTCCTCCTCTGGGTTTGGCAGTCAGTAGGACCCTAGTAGTTCTGAGTGCCAGTCATCACCCAGCTGCTCATCTGCCCTGCTCCCCAGCAGGGAAACGTTCATTCTCCTTGAAACCACTGGCCATTCTTGTGCAGTCTGCAGTGCCTCCTCCACCCCAAGGGACTTGGGGTGTTTGGGCACCTAGTCTGACCCTCTGCATCTGTTCTCCAGGGGTGAGCACTGTACTGTCATCCCCATGGCAGGCCTGCCCTGAGACCGGTAGACAGAATCACAAATGCACAACTGTCCTTGGGAGCATGGGTGCTCATTCTAACCCATTCCAAATAAAATGGAGACTTCATTTCTTCATTGTTTCATTTGCTCAACGTGTTTTTTGGGGGTGCAAATAGTTAATGCAAATCCGCTAACCAAAATGTTGGAGGTTTTGAGTCCACCTAGAGGTGCCTCAGAGACCTAGTGACCTACTTTGAATCACTGAAAACCCTGTGGAGCACAGTTCTGACACACATGGGACAGTCTGAGTCATGGGTTCACTTGGCTGTAATTTTTTATATTTAATGTACCAGGCAGGCCATCTGCTGGGCTCTGGAAAAAAGACAGCCTGTTCCCAGACCTCAGTCCATCCATGCCTGTAAGCAGGCACTAAGAGGTCCCCT